GTCTGCTTTTTAATATGCTTTCTATGTTGGTCATAACTTTTCTTCCAAGGAGTAAGTGTCTTTTAATTTCATGGCTGCAATCACCATCTGCAGTGATTTTGGAGACCAAAAAAATAAAGTCTGCCACTGTTTCCACTGTTTCCCCATCTATTTGCCATGAAGTGATGGGACCAGATGCCATGATCTTAGTTTTCTGAATGTTGAGCTTTAAGCCAACTTTTTCACTCTCCTCTTTCACTTTCATCAAGAGGCCCTTTAGTCCGTCTTCACTCTCTGCCATAAGGGTGGTGTCATCTGTGTTTCTGAGGTTATTGATATTTCTCCCGGCAATCTTGATTCCAGCCTGAACTTCATCTAGCCCAACGTTTCTCATGATGTACTCTGCATACAAGTTAAATAAGCAGGGTGACAATATACAGCCTTGACATACTCCTTTTCCTATTTGGAACCAGTCTGTTGTTCCATGTCCAATTCTAACCATTGCTTCCTGACCTGCATACAGATTTCTCAGGAGGCAGGTCAGGTGATCTGATATTCTCATTTCTTTCAGAATTTTCCACAGTTTGTTGTGATTCACACAGTCAAAGGCTTTGGCATAGTCAATAAAGCAGAAATAGATGTCTTTCTGGAACTCTGTTGCTTTTTTGATAATCCAGTGGATGTTGGCAATTTGATCTCTGGTTCCTCTGCCTTTTCTAAAACCAGCTTGAACATCTGAAATTTCATGGTTCACATATTGTTGAAGCCTGGCTTGGAGAATTTTGAGCATTACTTTACTAGCATGTGAGATGAGGGCAATTTTGTGGTAGTTTGAGCATTCTTTGGCATTGCCTTTCTTTGGGATTGGAATAAAAACTGACCTTTTCCAGTCCTGTGGCCACTGCTGGGTTTTCCAAATTTACTGGCATATTGAGTGCAGCACTTTCACGGCATCATCTTTTAGGATTTGAAATAGGGGATTTCTAGGACTAAGACCATGGCATCTGGTCATCACTTCATGGCAAATAGATGGGGAAACAGTGGCTGACTTTATTTTTCTGGGCTCCAAACTCACCGCAGATGGTGACTGCAGCCATGAAATTAAAAGACACTTACTCCTTGGAAGAAAAGTTATGACCAACCTAGACAGCATATTGAAAAGCAAAGACATTACTTTGTCAACAAAGGTCCATCTAGTCAAGGCTATGATTTTTCCAGTGGTCATGTATGGATGTGAGAGTTGGACTATGAAGAAAGCTGAGCACCGAAGAATTGATGCTTTTGAACTGTGGTGTTGGAGAAGACTCTTGAGAGTCCCTTGGACTGCAAGGAGATCCAACCAGTGCACCCTAAAAGAGATCAGTCCTGAGTGTTCATCGGAAGGACTGATGTTGAAGTTGAAACTCCAATAGTTTGGCCACCTGATGTGAAGAGCTGACTCATTTGAAAAGACCCTGATTCTGGGAAAGATTGAGGGCAGGAGGAGAAGGGGACGACAGAGGATGAGATGGTTGGATGGCATCACCGACTCAATGGACATGAGTTTGGGTGGACTCCGGGAGTTGGTGATGGACCAGGAGGCCTGGCCTGCTGCAATTCATGGAGTCGCATGGAGTTGGACATGACTGAGCAACTGACTGAACTGAACTGAGGGGAAGATTAGAGTAGAAATGGCCAACAGGCCCAGGAATATCATGATGAACTTAGGGAGAGGTCAACTCAAAAGGAAAATGGAGGGAGGGAAAGGGAGCGATGCGTGTCCAGGGAGGGAGGGGAGTAGAGAGCACAGAACAGGAGCTGTGCCCCAAGGAACTCACCCCCTTGCAGCTTTTCCACCTGTTTGCAGAGGGTTCCTCTGGACCATCGAGGAACTGGATGCTTGTAGAACATAGAAATCAACCATGCAAGTGTGTTTAAAGGAGTTTACCACCAAAGCATGGACACAGATGTGTGTGTGTGGCAGTCAGCCATGTTAAACTCTTTTGTGGCCCATGGACTGTAACCCAACAGGCTTCTCTATCCATGGGATTTTCCAGGCAAGAATGCTGTAGTGGGTTGCCATTTCCTACTCCAGGGCATCTTCCCAACTCAGGGATCCAATCCAGGTCTCCAGTGTCTCCTGCATTACAGGCGAATTCTTTACCACGGAGCCGCCAGAGAAGCCCAAGGAGCAGCAAAGAAGTTTCTAGAAGGAAAAAGAGTGAACCAAGATGGTGCAGCACCTGGGACAGTGAGTGGGAGGTGTCTAGAAGGAAGAGCTGGTCAGCAGAGTTACAGCAGGAGAAATGGCCACTGGTGTGGTGGCTCGGAGGCCTTAAAGGCCCTGGAGAGTGGGTCCTTCTGCCACCTTCTGCATCGGGAGGCGGAAACACCCCACGCAGATGGGCGTGGCCGGTCTTCCTCGCCCCAGCCCTGTGTTCATGTCTTACCAGCAGGTGGGGCACAAGAGCCAACGTGGACCCTCAGCCCCAGGAGCAGAGTTTTCCAGAAACAGGATACCCTTAGGGAGGGTAAGAAGTCTTCCCAGTCCTTCACCCTTCACCGCAGAGCCTGGAAGACCTCGCTGCCTCCATGTGATCTCTGACTCAGGGGCTTACCCAGATTTTCCCCTTCCAGTTAAAGCAAACCATGTTTTTTCCATCGCTCCATTTCCCGGTTGCCTGTAGGACAAAACACTCGTCACAAACACTCTCTGGAACAGGGATTCGTGGCACCGGGAATGGAGCTAAAGGCTAAAGGTGCGTGCTCAGTAATGTCGGACTCTGATCCACACCGGGGACTGTAGCCCGCCAGGCTCCTCTGTCCATGGGATTCTCCAGGCAAAAATACTGGAGTGAGTAGCCATGCTCTCCTCCAGGGGATCTTTACCATCCAGGAATTGAACCCTTGAATGGAGGAGACCTGCTGTCTCCTAATTCAAAAAGGCATGGTACGGCTACTGTGTCTGAAGTAGATGGCTGGTGAGAGCCTCCATATACCACAGGGAGGAGAAAGAAGAAGATATTATCTGTCTGTAGGACATATATTAACTTAATCCTAAAAATGCATTTCAATATACTTTGTTGTTGTTCTTCTTCAGTCACTGAGTTGTTCCATCTCTTTTCAATCCCATGGGCTGTAGTCCATTAGGCTCCTCTGTCCATGGGATTTTCCAGGCAAGAATACTGGAGTGAATCCACTATGAGGATCCTAGGATCCTTATGAGGTACCTAGAACAGTCAAATGCATAGAGTCAGAAAGTACATTGGTAGATGCCAGGGGCTGGGGGTGGTGGGGATGGGGACTTAGCATATCATGGGGACAGAGTTTCAGGTTTAGGAAGCTGAAAGATTTGAGAGACGGATAATAGTGAGAGCTGCACAACTGTGTGAATATACTCAGTGCCACTGAACTGTACAGTGAAATATGATTAAAATGGTGTGTTTTATATTATGTGACCGGCAACCCACTCCAGTATTCTCACCTGGAAAGTCCCATAGACAGAGGAGCCTGGCGGGTTATTGTCCATGGGGTTGCAAAAGAATTGAATGTAACTGAGTGACTGAGCACATATTATGTGACTTTCACCACAATTTAAAAAAAAAAAAAGACATTAAAAAATGTTATTATGCAGGTGAGGAGCCTGAGGTGGTTCACTGGATATAATCCAGAGTTGGACCAAGAACAGAACTTGGATCGCCTCATTCACATTCTAAGGACCCCTTGATTTTAAGTAATTTGATGTTTCACCATGGCCCCTCCCACGGTTTCTTGAGGGCAAATGATATCAGTAATAGTACAAATAGTAACAGTAACTGCCGCCAACATTTCCTGGGCACTCCTGTGGCAGGTGAATAAAACAGTCAGTGTTCAGAATCACCCTAAGAAGGAGTTTAGGTTAGAAACTAAATGTTTCCTGAGCTCTTCCCATCTGGGCTTGTGAACAAGGGAAGGAGAGCGGTTCAGGGATTTGTTGTTTAGTGGTTAAGTCATGTCCTATTCTTTTGCAACCTCATGGACTGTAGCCTACCAGGTTCCTCTGCCCATGGGATTCTCCAGGCAAGAATACTGGAGTAGGTTGCCATTTCCTTCTCCAGGGGATCTTCCCAATGCAGAGATCAGACCCAAGTTTCCTGCATTGCAAGCAATTCTTGACTGCTGAGCCACCAGGGAAGCCCAGTACAGGGTAAGGGTTATATTAAAAAGATAAAATCTTTCCTCTCCTTAGACCTGTTCTCGAAAGACAGGTGGACTCTGGTTGAGCATATGAGCCCTTGTCTGGTTTCCTGCCTTCTTTCAAGCCTGCCCTACATGTGGCTGGACCAAACCGTCCTAAACCCCAGTGGGTGAGGGGCAGTGACAGAGGGAAAACTCCTATGTGTGGCTGCTCGTGGCAACATTAAGGAAATTCTGTTTTCTCTGCTTCTCCTTCCCCTCCTCCTTCCTTCCCTGTCTCACCCACTGTGGTGATTCCCCAGCAGCGACCTGTGGTTTCCTGCCGTGTGCCTTTGCACGTGGTTCCCTCTACCTGGAATTCCTCCCCCGCCACCCCTGTCCCCCCACCACCCCCTTGTCTACTGGCCCGCCTTCCAAAGTTGGCTGCCGTGTCCCCCACAGAGGTTGGAAGCCTCTTCCTTCCCAGGCAGACCTGCGGGCACACCCCGGCCCCTGTGAGTTCCTAGGCCAAATCTCCCCTCTACAAGCACAAGTTCATGCGCCTGGCACACAGGGAGGCCAAATAAACTGAAACGTCAGAGTTTGGAGCAGAGAAAGATTTATTGTAAGGCCATGCAAGGAGGCGGGTGCCATGTGCCCTAAAAAACCCCAGGCTCTCCAAAGGGTTTCAGTAAAGAATTTTTAAAAACCAGGTGAGGGAGGTGGGAGGGATCACAGGGTCTGTGAGCAGCTTGTACACAATTCTCTGATGGGCTGTTGGTGAGGCAGCAGGTGGTGTCACAGGGGTGAACGTTATCAGTTCTTAGGCTTCAGGAGGCCTGGGGCTGTGTGATCTTGGTCATCTGGTAGTTAACATCTTCCTTTTGATGAGGAGTTTTCACATCTCTGAAACAACTCAGCAAATGTGCTTCAGACACTGTCATGTAGGTACCTTAGAGGGCTTCCCAGTTGGCTCACTGGTAAAGAATCCACTGGCCAAGCAGGAGATGCAGGTTCGATCCCTTGGTCAGGAAGATCCCCTGGAGAAGGAAATGGCAACCCACTCCAGGATTCTTGGCTGGAGAATTCCATGGACAGAGGAGCCTGGCAGGCTACCATCCATGAGGTCACAAAGAGTCAGACGTGATTTAGTAACTGAACAGCAACAACAGGGTACTTCAGAGAGGAGCTAAAGCAGAGGATGTGGGGAAGACCTGTCCTGGGGAAGACCCCATAGGGTCCTGCTCAGTTACACCCCGAACAAAGACTCCTGGGGCTTAGTCTGGCCTGCACTGGGATTCTTCCAGGTGAGACAGAGGGCGTTGTCCTCTCAGCACCCCCTGTGTCCAGGACACACAGCAGGCTCCCCAGAAACACCAGAAGAAGTGAATGAGCTGCCCTGACTGACCTCCCCCAGCCGCCCCCTCACACACTCATCCCCTCTCCCCGTTTGCCGCCTTCTCTCCAGCCTCCACTCTGCTGTCCCACCTCAGTGCCCCCCTGGGTCTCTGACCTGAACCCACATCCTCCTGATGTACCTCCGAGGGTCCCCAGATCACCTCCGTCTCCAGCTGCTTCAGTCCCCGACGGCAGGTGTGCCCACCTTTCAGTGTTAGTCACTCAGTTGTGTCTGACTCTGCGATCCCTTGGATTGCAGCCCGTCAGGCTCTTCTGTCCATGCAATGCTCCAGGCAAGAATACTGGAGTGGGTTGCCATTCCCTTCTCCAGGGAATCTTCCTGACCCAGGGATCGAACATGGATCTCCTTCTCTGTAGACAGATTCTTTACCATCTGAGCCACAGTCTAAGCCCCCAGTGCTCTGAGCCAAGGTCCGGAGACACAGACAATGGTCCGTATAGTCAAGGAGGCTTCTGCCTGCCCCTCCTGCTCCCCCACCACCCAACTACCCAAAACACAGGTTCCCCTCACTTAAATCCACCAGTGATCCCTCACCCCTGAGGGCAGAGTCCAGTGCCAGGAGGCACCTCTAGCTAGATGTCTGCCTCACTTCTCCACACACCTCCCTACTACTGTGAGCTTCAGCCCAGACTCCAGACAGCCCCTGCCCAACTTTGCCCAATTCTCCCTTGATTACAACCGCTTTTCAAGGCACTCTGCAGCCTGCTTCCCTGTTTGGGTCAAAAGTCTGCTTTGAGCTCCCCTGGCCTTCAAGCCTCACTCCTTGAGGACATGTAACAGGCTCAGTCCCCTCCTGCTCTAAGAATATACCCTCATGTGCCTGGATACTGAAACCACATTTGGCCTGAATGAACAAATTGACAAGACAAGTGTAACAGTGATAATAAACAGAGCAAAACATAATTTCAAAGTGGTAATACAAGCTGTTTTGGGTGGGTGTTATTTTGAGTTATGTTCTTTTTGCCTATTGGTATTTTCTGATGTTTTGGTAACCAAGGAAGTTTTGCTTTTGTCATTTAAAAAAAGGAAACTTCATTTTGGGAAAAAAAAAAAATGTGAAAGGTTTTGGATTTTTAAAAGTAGGGGGAATCTCCTTATCCTTTGGTGAGAACCAGGAAAGGAATGTTTAAGGAGGCATGGAATTTTTACAAGTGAAGACAGGAAGGTTAGCCAGCCAGAGGGAACACACCACATGCCACATGCAGGGCTGGGGTGCTGTGGAGGGCAAAATAAGGAATTTGGACTTAAGTCATTGAATGTAGGAGAGCTGCGGAAAGTATTTCTTTCTTCTAGTTTCTTTGAGATGTCAACTACAAACTGGCACTTGCCAAGAGCATTGCAAATGACTGAACAGCAAGGGCATTTGCCATCTGCCTCTGCGGAGACTGAACCCTGCATTGCTGCAGCTATTGACCTTAAACATCCCGAGGGGGTTCAGGGTGGAGAGTGAGGCACTCTGTGCTCCAGGGAACCTGGTGGAACTGGTTTGTAGATAGTTGGATATTTTCAGGAACAAATTTTATGATTCCAATCCTTGCCATCTTCTCATATCTAGAAAAGCATTAAACCCCTTCATGATGACATCAGATCCTCGTGACTAGCAGAAAACCTTTTGTAAAATGAGTGCTTGATGGTATCGAACTCCCCCTTCACCAAAATCTCATATATTGACCTTCCCCTCACTGCCCCTTTGGAATAGTCTCTCGGAGCTATCTGCGGTGCTGCCTCCTGGGTACAGTCTTCATTTTGCCCCAAATAAAATTTAACTCACAACTCTCACACTGTGCATCTTTTTTAGTCAACAGAGATATAATTGATGTACAGCACTGTATATGTTTAAGGTGTATGACATAATGATTTGACTCATATACATCATGAAATGATTACCACAACAGGTTTAGTGACTATCCATGTCTCATATACATACATGAAAGCAATGGGTTTAGTGAATGTCCATGTCTCATATACATACATGAAAGAAACAGAAAAATATTTACATGTTTTTCGTTGTCCTGAGAACTCTTAGGATTTGTTTTCTTAACAGTTTTCCTTATAACTTACAGCACTGTTGATAATATTTATCATGTAAGTTGTACATTAAATCGCTAGTACTTATTTATCTTATAACTGGAAGTTTGTATCTTTTGATCACCTTCATCCAATTTCCCTTCTCCTACCTCCCCACCTCCACCTCTGGTAACCACAAATCTAATCTCTATCTCTGAGCTTGTTTGCTTGTTTTTGAAGTATAATTGACCTACAACATTGTGTTAGTTCCTGATACATACATAACATAGTGATTTGATATTTCTATACATTTCAAAATGATCATCACAATAAGTCTAGTTATTATCTGTCACTGTCCAAAGATATCACATACTTATTGACTATATTTCCCACACTGTACATTTCATACCCGTGACTCATTTATTTTGTAACTGAAAGTTGTACCTCCTAATCTCCCTCACCTATTTTTCTCCTCCCCCTACCCACCTCCACTTGGCAACCAACTGTTGGTATCTCTGTATGTATATCTCTGTTTCTGTTTGGTTACATTTGTTTTGTTTTTTTAGATTCCATTTGTCTTTCTCTCTCTGATTTATTTCACTTAGCAAAATACCCTCTAGGTTCATCTATGGAGTTGCAAGTTTTCCTTCTTTTTATGGGTGATATTCCATCATATATATATATTTTTTCTTTATCCATTCATCTATTGATGGACATTTCTGTTGTTTCCATATCTTGGCTACTAGAAATAATGTTACAATGAACATAGGGGTGCAAATATATTTCCAAGTAGTGTTTTCATTTTCTTTGGACAAATACCCAGGAGTGGAATTGCTGCGTAGTTCTATTTTTAATTTTTTAAAGAACCTCCATACTGCTTTCCGTAGTGGTTGTATCAATTTTTTTCCCCCTCAACAGTTTAGGGGGCTTCCCCGGTGGCTCAGATGGTAAAGAATCTGCCTGTAATGCGGGAGACCTGGGTTCAATCCCTGGGTTGGGAACATCCCCTGGAGGAGAGCATGGCAACCCATGCCAGCATTCTTGCCCGGAGAATCCCATGGACAGAGGCGCCTGGTGGGCGGCAGTCCATGGGGTCGCAAAGAGTTGGACACGACTGAGCGACCACGCACGGAACAACAGTCTTGGAGGCTTCCCTTTTCTTCACATCCTAGCCAACATTTGTCATTTGCTGAACATTTTGGAGCAGAGGAGAAACACCCTAAGAACTCTGGCACAGGAGCTCAAAGATGTGGCAGTGGGCAGTGTCAAGGGCAAGAAGGAGGGCGATGAGAAGAGGCAGGAACAGAAGCTAGGCTACAGCCCTTCTCTTCTCTGGGGCATCTGAACCACAAACCCAGGAAGCAATCCCACATTGCCCAGCTCTCAGACTTATTACTATTCATTGATGGTATTTCAGGATTACTTCCATAAGTCTCTACCGATCCTCCCATCCGGAAGGTAAGCCTCCGTGTGCCGAGTGAAGCGTGTGCTTCAGAGTGGAAGTGTGCAAGGAGCCGCCCAGGGAGACAGAAACCGGGCGGCTTCTCTTCAAATCGGGCCCCAAGCAAGAAGAGCCCTCATTCTGCGGGCCACCTTGGGTAAGGGGCCTCTGCCCTCACCACCCACAGGGGAAGTTCTCCCCAGAGCAGAGGGCTCGGGAGGGGCAGAATCCAGGAGAGAACCGAAAGGGCGAGGCCTTCACAAAATTCCAGGATGAAATCGGCCAGGGATGACGGCCTGGAAAGACCCCAGGACTGTTGGGAGGAAAGGGAAGGCAAGGCGGGAAGTCAGGTCCGGCCGACTAGGTGGGGAGCATCAGCCAGAGGTGGGACCGGCGGCGGGCCCCGGACCTGGGCGGGGCGGGGCAGGTGGGCCAGGGGCGGGGCCTGCTGGGCGGGCGGGGGCGGAGCCCGGCACATGCGCACCGCGGCGGCGCGCGCCCGAGGAGTGGCACTTTTTAAAAGTGCAGCCCGGAGGCCAGCCCGCAGCCGCGCGCACCTCGGTCCCACAGCCCGGTCCCGCCCGTCCCGGCCTCACGCGGCCCCGTTTCACATCAGTCCAACCCAGGCCACTCTAGCTCGCATCATGCCGGTCAAAGGAGGCACCAAGTGCATCAAATACCTGCTCTTCGGATTTAACTTCATCTTCTGGGTGAGTGAGTGCGACCGCCGCGCGCGCCTCTCGGGGGCCACCTGTCCGACCCGCGCATTCCGTCCGCGATCGGGGTTGCGGGCACCCGCACCGCCTGGGCGGGGAAGACTCCTGGCGGGGAGGAGAGGGCGCTGCGGACGCCAGCTGACTCCTCGGCCCGAGCCGAGACGGGCGGGGCGGGCGGGTTGGTCCGGGGCGCGTCCGAAGCGAGGCGGGCGGCCGACGCGCGGCCCTGATGAGTTGCGGGTGGGGTTGGTGTCTGCTCCCACCCCGAGTCCCTCTGAGTGCAGGAGGAAGAATCAGAGCACCCCTCTGATGGGGACTCAAGGCCCTGGTCGTGGGGGGCTGTGGCGGACTGTGCGGCTCGTGACTCGGGCGGGGTCCCCCGAGTGTCCGGAGCCGCGAGGAGGGAAAGGATGCGGACGCGAAAAGGGACTTATGTCCCGCCGGGGGCGCTCAGCCAAGAGCTGTTGGCACGTTTGCGCGAAGAGGGGAAGGGACGCGCCGACCGCGAGTGTTACGGACCCCATCCGTAAATGAAAGTCGGGGTCCCTCCTGCACCCCCGAGCTCTCAGACCGATCCTGAACCGGCGTGAGAAAGTCCGAGCTCCCTCGAAACAACCTGAAAGACTAGCTTGTCTTGATTTTCTTTTTCCCCCAAGGGCGATAAGTATCTGGACTTGAGAGAACTCCGGGACAGTGGGGGAGAGCTGGGGCCGATGCTTATCGGCGCCTGTGTGGGATGAGTCCAGTGTTTCTCCATTTCCGGGAGGGATCAGGTGGCCGCCCCACCTCCCCCGCCAGCCCACCCAGAAGCCGGGTGGGGCCCCCGGGAGTTGACTGTCACCTGGGGAGGACGCAGGCCTGCGAGTTCCAGGACTCCCGCTGCCGGCCACGGGCAGCCTCTCAGACTACGGCAGCCTGAGGCGGGCAGCAGGGAAGGGGAGATGCCCCTCGGAGCTCTCCCTAGGGCAATTAAGGGGCCACCCAGAGACAGAGGCAAGGAGTAGGAGACTTGGTGTCCTAGTTCCAGGGCCACATCTCCCGCTCACAGGTGGATGATTTTTGCCCCTTTGCCATCAGGAAGGTATTTGGAAAGGCAGGCCCTGTGCCGCTCTCCAGAGGGAGATGGCTGTAGAAGCAGAGGCATGCCACAAGAGGCTTGTAGCAAAACTGTACTTATTCACTGGGATCTGTTTCCCCATGAGCCCCAGGGAAAAGTCTCCCAAGATTTACTCCTCTCCCTGGAGCTGACTGAGTATGAGACGGATCTGCCCTTGCACAATTCATCACACCAAACACCTGCCCTAGTGAAGGTGGAGCATGGATGTGCCCTGCCCAGCCCAGGGCCTCCTCTAGGAAGACCCTCCTGCGCTGGGCACCCCTTCCTTCTGCTGTTCCCACCAGTCCCAGCAGCCAGCCAGCCAGCTAGCTGCCAGCCTCGCTTCCTCCTCACCCCAACAGAGGCACCAGAAAAGAATGTGGAAAGCCAGCTAGCCCCGCCTTGCCCCACCCTAGTCCTTTAAGGAGTTTTCCTCTAGCCCCTCCCTAGCACCTTCTCTCCCCTGCTCGTCCCCACCCCTTGGCTTCCCAGGTGGCGCTAGTGGTAAAGAACCCACCTGCCAGTCCAGGAGATGCAAGAGATGGGTTCCATCCCTGGGTCGGGAAAATCCCCTGGAGGAGGAGGGCATGGCAAGCCACTCCAGTATTCTTGCCTGGAGAATGCCATGGACAGAGGAGCCTGGCAGAGGCTGGTGGGAGACTCCCAGACCTCTCTGGCAGCCTCTGGCCTGCCACCCCACCATGCCCAGAGCTGCCCTCACCTGGGCTCAGTACTGCTGATGGACAGTGTCACCTGAAACAGAGATGACTCACTCTGGGAACAGTTGGGTGTAGAATTAGGAATGACTCGGGGTCATCCTGTCCCACTTCTTCACAGTAAAGAAGTGGGAACCGGAACTGGGCTGATCAATCAGTGTCATGGGAACCAAGCCAATACCTCGGCTCCTAGATCCTTTAGGTCCTGTCCTCTTCTGTCTCCATCGCAAAATCAACAAGGGGACCTGGTAACAGGTGGCATGGGGGGTAAGCAGTAGCTACATAAATCTGAATCAGCTATTGTTAAGTTGTGGTCGTTGTTGTTGTTTCGTCGCTAAGTTGTGTCCAGCTCTTTTCTGACCCCATGGACTGTAACCCACCAGGCTCCTCTGTCCGTGGGATTTCCCTGACAAGAATACTGGAGTGGATTGCCATTTCCTTCTCCAGGGGATCCTCCCAACCAGTGATCAAACCCACATCTCCTGCATTAGCAGGAGGATTCTTTACCACTAAGCCACCAGGGAAGCCCTTTGTTCGGTACTCCTGTATTAAGGTCCCTATAGAGACGGAGCCCTCATCTCCTAGGAGGTGATGGAGTAAAGGAACACTGTGATCCCTTGTGCAGCACGGTACAGCCTGCAAAGTCCTTTTCCAAGTTCCCCAATACGGTCAGAGCAGAAAGCATTATCCCCATTTTTACCAATGACCAGGAAACCAGTCCCCAGAGAGGTTCCATAACTTAGCCAGGGTCAGGTGGCTGGAAGAGTGTCAGAGGTAAGTTTGAAAACAGGTCTGGTGGGCTGCAGTGTACCCGATGCACTTTATGCCACTGCTAGCCACCATACCCAGCTGGATGAGAATGACAGGAGGGTGGCAACAAGCCCTCAAAAAATGATTTTTAAGGGAAGCTGTGGCCTGAGGGAACTGCTTGCTTGGATCGTTATGATGTCATCACTTCCCTTTCTCTCTTGAGACCCAGAATTTATAAATTCAGTGTTTGGGACCTGATATGGGCCTCAAAGAGCAGGAGTTGGGAGGGTAGGAGTCACCTATACCTCATGGACAGGGGATGCTGAGAGGGGTGGTCCAGCAGGGATCCAGAGAGGAAAGGCCCACCTCAGTGGCAGGGGCAATCAAGGAGGGAGGGTGTACCTCTTCCCTGGCCCCCATTCTCATTCCTGAGGGACCCTCGGTGAGAGCAGAGCCTGCACAACCTGCCCCCCACCTCCAAGTAAGACCCCCGGTGCCTGCAGCCAAGTCAGCAGTCAGTCTGTACTTCCAGTGGCCCCAGGACTCTTAACTTCCTAGTTCCATTTCAGTTATTTTTGGGTTTCCTTCGACCTGCCTGCCCAGCCACCCTCCAGAAAAGGTTGAGAGGGGAAACCTGTTATGATGCCAGAGTGGCAACCCCCGCTGTTTAGTGGGGAACCAGAGCTGGGCCAGGCCAGGTGTTTCCATTCTACCCTCACCTCCCTCTGCCCCTTTACTCACTGTGTCGCCCCACCTCATCCCTGTCCCCTCCCTCACTGATGGGAAGAGCAGGGAATTTCTCTTTCCCAAGAAAGGGTATCTCCTGGGCCTAAGTCTGGCTTCATGGAAACCAGAGTTCAGGGACCTGGGTATTAGTCAGCTCTGCCCTCAGCCCACTTTGAGCATGTCACTTTTGTTTTTGTGTGTGTGTTTTATTTAGCTGCACCAGCTCTTAGTTGTGGCATGTAGAATCTAGTTCCTTGACCAGGGCTCGAACCCATGCCCCCTGCATTGTGGGAGCACAGTCTTAACCACTGGACCACTAGCGAAGTCCCAAGCAGGTCACTTTTTTTTCTTCTTAATATATACATTTTATTGAAATATAGTTGACTTACAGTGTTTCAGGCACACAGCAAGATGATTCAGTTATACACATACACATTTATTATTTTTGAAGTTATTTTCCATTATAGGTTATTAGAAGATAGTGACTATAGTTCCCTGTGCTATACAATAACCAAGCAGGTCACTTTTGAACTCCATAGCTCAACTTCCTCATCTGTAAGACCAGTGAGTCAGAGCAAATGGTCCCCAAAGTTCAGCCTCAGAAACCAGCCCCATCCCCGTGACCTACAGCAAAGGACTTTCCCACACAACCCAAAATAGGAGTCCGGAAATGGAAGTGTACAGTGGGTACCCAGGCTTGGCTCAGAGAGTGGCTTCATTTGACCTTTATTTCTGGGACCTGAGTATTGCCTCTCCTGTTAACCCTGGAGTTGCCTCCACTCCCCCTGGGTGAGGTCTCCCCCTGGGTGAGCCTTTCATGGCAGTGCTGCCCAGTGGTCAGAGCACCAGCAGCTCTGGGTTCGATTCCCCCGTCATCACGTGGAGCTGGTGCCGGCCCTCCCGGGATGGCAATGGGTTACACGAACACGTGCTTGTGATGCACTTGGCCCAGGAGCTTAGTCTTGGGTGTGGACTAAGCTTCCAACTGTAGCTCTTATCCCTGTGGGGGAAGGAGGTAGGGAGGGTGGGAGCCACTGCCTGAGAAGTGTGGCAGTTGAAACCAGAGAGATAGCCAGGTGCACACCCCTCGTCCACTCACGTCCGGGCTTCTCCTCCTCCTCCTCCTGCGCCACTGCCAGCCTCGTTCCATTTCATGGGTGGCCCCACCTCTGGAAATAAAACTGCAGAGGCGCCGGTATTCGGGGTCTGGGTGGGGGTGGCCCAGCAGGGGTGGCGCTGGCTGGTGCCCCTCCGACCTAACCTGCGCCTTCCCCGCAGAGGATGATTGCCTTCTGTGTGGGGCTCGGCAGGCTGCTGGGCCCATGCATGAAATGGCTTCCACCCTTTGGCACCCGGACAGCCGGAGCCCGGCAAGAGCCGGCTGTGTTTGCACAGAGCCTGGCAGGCTAGGGGAGCGCGGAGGGGGGGCCAGGTGTCTGCCTCTGCTCCGGAAAATAGGACTTCTCCCTGCCTGGCTCCTGATGGCTTTTCCCCCCTCCACTTTGCCCTCCAGTGGTTGTCGACAACAGGTCTGACTCCTGATGGGGGGCCCGGGGGCGGGGACGGGATTCCTGCACAGGCGCACACACTCAACTCTTTCCTTTCAAAGTGGCCCACAGCACCATTCCACACCTTCCTCTTTGTGCTCAGACGAAACCACTGCTGGTTCAGAACCATTTCGATAGACAGCCCTTCCGGAGGGCTGT